GTGGAAAGGATTTAATAAGGGTGTGCTGTTCAGGAAAAACTTGTGAGGGAGTGAGAAAAGCAGAGTTGGGAAAGGGGAAAGACCAAGCAAGGTCTTGGTGTCACTGGAGGCTGGGGAGGCTATGGAGCATGCATCACACTCCAGAGTTCCTCCACCATGAGGTAAAGGGCCAGGCTTTGGCACACCTGTACACAAGAGGCATTGGCCAGCCTGGGGTGGGATATGACTGCCTAGGTTCTTGGAGAAGTGGTGCCCACAGCCACAGGTGAGTCTCCAGAGATGGCCACAGGCATAAGCTGATGGCTGCAACACTCACAGAACTGGAGGAAGGACACAGTGGTCAATCAGGGGGCTCTGGGTGGGGCACCAATGGCATTGCCTACAGCAGCTAAGACTTACATAGTACTGACATGTGTCTGGCACTATCATAAGTGCCTGATGATATTAACAAACTTAGCCTTTAAGACAACTTGTAATGTTTAGTTACTGTTATTATTCATGTTTTACAGTGTGCAAACGGAAGCACAGGGAGGTTAAAAGTAACCTGCCCAAGTTTCCATAACAGGTAGATGATGGAGCCAGGATTCAGACCTAGGACATTTGGTTCTAGTTTCCACACCCTTTAATGCTACCTCTACTACCTCAGTGTATTGAGTCTTCATATGCACCAGGCACTGTATTAGGCACTGGAAATCCTCCAGTGAAATGATTATAAAAATTCCTGCCCTCATTGAGGTTACTTTCCAGCGAGGGAAGTTAGACAATAAATAAATAAAATGTATTATCCAGATGGTAGTAACTGCTAAGGAGATAGATAAATCAGGGAAAAGGGATAGGGAGTGTCAGGTGACAGTTATTGTTTTAAAGAGGGTGATCCAAGGAAGACTTCATGGAGGAATCATTTTAGCAAGGACCCAAAGGAGGTGGTTTCTCTGCTTCTACTTTCACCACTCCTTTGGGCTGACCCCAGTTCACTCTCCTACTGCACAATTGGAAAGTAGTCTTTCCACATCACCTGGTCATGTTCCTTCCCTGAATGACACCCTTCAGTGGTTTCTCATTGCCTTGGCACAGAAGATGCATCCTGATTTGAAGTCTGCTTCCACTCCAGCCTCTTCTCTTGTAAGGTCTGATTCTAACATTGTGATGCCAGGGGCAAGAGTACAAATGGAAACCCACATACCCTTTGTCTGAATATTTAAAACTAATGTGGCAAGCTAACAAACTATTAAATAAAACACGTTCTGTCCTTCTACCTTGACAAATATATCTTCATAGCAACCTAGGAGGCCAACTTCAAATTTAGATTTGTTGGATGACTCTGAGTTCCAAGCCCAAACATGGCAGCATGGAGAGACTAGCCCCCAGCCCATGCTCTGCCTACCTTCCTGTGCACTGTCCAGCTCTGTCCTGCAGGACAGAGGGCCTCATGCATGCACATGTAACCCCCAACTCACACACCCATGTTCCAGCCACATTCTTGCAAATAGTAGCCTTGTGCTACCCCTCAGCCTGTAGGTTCGCAGAATGGTGCTGTTACTTGCCCTTGGGGATTAGACCCTGAAAAGAGGTACCCATGGGCCCAGGAAGTATGCTAAGGGCCCTTGGGCAGAGAGTTTTAGGGTTTCAGGTGCTAGGAGCTTGGTCTAGAAGGGGCAGAGGAGTGTGCTGCATGAACTCTATGTGGGCAAGTCTCCTTGGCCCCTGGGGGGAGGGTGTGGAAGAGGAGGGGCAGAGCCCAGAACAGTGCTCTCTAAAGCACTCAGAGCAGCCTCTCTCTCTTCACTGTCTGCCCCTTACCCACGTGAGCCAAAGTGCATTACCTGAACTTTCTCAATATGCCATGCTTTTTTGCTTCTGGGGTTTTGTGATTTCACGTAGACTGCAGAATGGACGTCATCTACTTGGACTCCTTGCCCTAATTTCCCGCATCTCCTGTGAGCTCCCTAACCTAATCTCCTCATTGCTGACCCCCAACTCCTGTCCCCAAACACAAAAATACCACACATAATGTCAGTGTGGTGGGTTGTAGTATGCTATAGGGATCTGAGCATGGACTTTAAAGTCGATAGTCCTAGTTTTTAATTTTTGCTTAGCTACTTTACTAGTCGTGTGACCTTAGGCAAATTTTGTGCCTCAATTTCATCTTCTCTTACATGGAGATAACCATATCCAGTTTATATGGTTATTGTGAAGAAAAAATGAAATAACATATGGCAAGTGTCCAGCCTGAGTCCTGGCATAGAAAAAGCATGTGGTAAACAGTTCTTTGCCTCCCTAGCTATGCCCTTTACTTGAAACCAAACACACAAGCACCTTGTGAGATTAGGTTGTCTTCACAGAAAGATGCCAATTAGATTTGTTCTCAGCATTCAGCCCCTAGGCCCTTTCTCCTGAGCTAGTGAGAACTTCCTAGAGAATATTAGTACCTGCTTTCTACTTTTAGTTGTCAGAAAAGATTAGTTAATAGGGTGTAACCTGCTACTGACTGTCACAATTAGATGTGGGGATAGTCAACCTCCAGTTCTTGGTAGCAACACTGAATGTTTGTTGTTAGGGATGGAGATTTCTCATGTCAGTGTAATTACGGTAACAGGGATCGAGCCTGGGGAGCAGGAAAATAAGGAAGACTGTCATCTCAGAGGAAGGGCAAGACCCACAGTTATGTTGCAGTACCTGACGTAAGTGGGCATGCAACAAATGTGAGTTGAGCTAAAGTAATCTACACTCAGTGAGAAAAGACATTAAACCCCAACAGAAAGCTATTACACCCTAATACAGAAATGGATGGAAGAACTGATCAGGTAGTTCACAGAAGAAATACTTATGGGCCAATAGGCTATAGCCAGTTATCAAAGAAATGCAAATTTAAATGTAATGTAATGTTTTTCTTAGAAAATAGGCAAAGATTTTAAAAATTCAGTGACCAGTGCTGGTGAGGATACGGTGAGGAAGGTACTCTCATACATCGCGGGTGGACATGTAAGTTGATATAATTTTCTGTAAAGCAATAATGAATGATCAAATAAGTTATGGCATAAGTATAAGATAGACTATATATTATTAAATGTAACAGTTTCAAAGAAATGTTAGATGAGGAAAAACTGTTACAGTGAAAAGTGGAACACTATACCATATGAAAAATATATGTACAAAAAAGATTGAAAAGTAACAGTCCACAGTATTGTAAGCTCCTACCATTAGCATATCATGTAGAACTTTGAATATTTTAACTTTTCTATAATTAGCAGGTGTTCCTCTTATGATGGGAAAGAAATCCTGTGATTTAAGAAAAAGTCACATTGCTTTCAGACAGGAAGGCAGAGAAAATTATTCATGGAAGACCTTGCCCACTTGTTGATTCGATAAGTGTCAGAGAACAAGAAGCAACTCCTTTTCTTTAGGATGCAGGATTTGGGGAGAAACAAAGACTCAGTCTTCCTCCCATGCTGGAGAGAGCCCCTCACCTGGAGAGTTTTCTAACTAGGAGGCCTAAGTAAGCTGCCTTGTGCTTGAGACATGCACACAGTCGCAGGAGCTGTGGTCTCTTCACGGAGCTGTGACATTTTCATCACTGGTTGAGATTTGAGAATGAAGTCTGAAAAGGGTTTTTTGTTTCCTTTTGTGATCTAAATCCTCCGACTGTGGCCTTATTGCCAGTAGCTGTAAGTGACTGAGATGTGGTAGGGCATATCTGAGGGTCACGTCACATGCATAGTGGTTTAAACAAGTACAATTTGGAAAGTGGGAAAATAAGTGAAGGACCCTAAGGAAATACTACACCAGTGTTTATATATAAAAAAAATGTGAATTAATTAAAGTCTATTTTAAGTTGTAAAATAAATGGGTACATTACGTAATCCAAAAATAGAGAAGGAAAGAACCCTAACTACCAACTTTATATATAAAAAAAATGTGAATTAATTAAAGTCTATTTTAAGTTGTAAAATAAATGGGTATATTACGTAATCCAAAAATAGAGAAGGAAAGAACCCTAACTACCAAAACATAGACTTTCTTCCAAACTGAGATAAATATTTTCACATTCATTTTTTTCTTTCTATTCTCGGGAGTTATGGTCAAAGTTCAGTTTTTAAATAAACTTTACTATTTTATATGTTATATAGCAATATCTTGATTCATTTAGTCTGCTTATCTCTTGATTTTTGAGAAAGTCACTGTCACTTCAACTGGCCTTGATTTCAAGAATTACCTACCCCATCCCTCCCTAGCATTCTGAAATGTGCATTTTCACACCCTGCTCTTATAATATAAGCACACGAGACAATTGGATTGCATCCATTGTTCCAGTCAGTCCCACACATGGCTATCTCTGAATGATCAGCATGACTCAGCGACCTGATTTTTTAAACTTGGCATACGTTTTGAGCTACAAGTAATACATCTTAATACAATGTTGGCAAATACATGGTATTAGTACTTTGTTCACTTTCTCTAATCAAATGGCAGAATTGGCGTAGAGTCTTTTATTGGAAAGGATACTTTGACCTAGTTTGAGTTCAGTGGTAAGGTGTTCTAGTGTCAGTCACTGATGTGGGCATAGGAAAGAGCAGCACTCCTGCCAAGAACTCTCCACCTCAGATTTAAGGGGGCGACAGGATTCCTGTCTTTATAGAACATGATTCATTCTAGGAAAAAGAGAGGGAGACAAAAATTAAAAGAGAAATCAAATATAATTGTAAATATGCAAACAGTAAACATCCCAATAGTTACAATTGACTATTAGGAAGGCCAAGTTATTTGCAAAGTGCTGGGAGAAGGCAGAATGCCAGGACTATTGGCTGGATGGAGTTAATCTAGAAGAGTTTTCTGAGGTAGTATGTTTTGGGTTGGGTTGGAAGGTGGCTAGGAGACCTGGTGTGAAGTTGGAAAGGCAGTCCAGATTAAGGGGAATGCAGCTTTCTGGGTGCTTTTCGACTGTGTATTCCAAAGTCTCAGCTGCCCAGAGTGACCATTCCTGACATCTGACCTCCCCACAGTGAGGACGTGTGCAAACGTGGCTTCACCGTCATCATCGACATGCGGGGTTCCAAGTGGGACCTCATCAAGCCCCTCCTTAAAACGCTGCAGGAAGCCTTTCCAGCTGAGATTCATGTGGCCCTCATCATCAAACCTGACAACTTCTGGCAGAAACAGAAGACCAACTTTGGCAGCTCCAAATTCATTTTTGAGGTGAGCCAGACCTTTCTCTCTTAGCACCTCCTTTCTCTTCTCCTTCTGCAGCCCACATGTTTCTCACTTTCTCTTCTGCATCTACCCTACAATATACAACATGTCAAGAGCTGAGGTTTCAGGATTCCTTGGCCATTATGTCCTTACCAGTTAGAATCTGGGCAGGAATAAGAGGCTCAAGAGATTGTCCCAAATGCACAGCTTCATTAGACAATCCTATTTATTGTTGATGGCTGTGTAAATTGGGACAACTGTTTCTGGGGGAAACTTTGCAATTTGTATCAAAAGCCTTAAAAAGAGTTTATATCTATTGATTTAGTAATTCTTCTAGGAAAATATTCTTAATACAATGACTAAACAAAGCAAAAAGGTAAGAATCTAAGTAAACTACAAACAAAAAATGTCTATAAAGATGTTCATCACAGTGTTTTTCACAGTAATATTTGTATGAGAGTACTTCAGAAAGTTCATGGAAAGATTCATGTTATCTTTTAATTCTATTTTTCCACAAACCGATGTACACATACACACACACACACTTACACATATATACATATATAATGCACATGTATATGTACATATACAGGTTGTATCCTATCCATTAATTTCAGTGATATTAATACATAAATACTATGAAGCCATTAAAAGTCATATAATCATATTTAGAAAAATAGTATCATCAAAAAATTTTCAGGATATATTGTTTAAAAAAAAGACAGGTTTTAAAACAGTATGGGCAGTGTAATCTGGAATTTGTTTTCCAAGTGTGTGTATGGAGAAGAAGACTGAGAGAGACACCTGAAAATGTTAGCAGTGGTTTTTTTGAAGTGGCTGGATTATGGATGAATTTTGTTCATATTTTTCTATTTTCTTTCAAGGATGATATATTACCTTTATCATCAGGGAAACCATGTTGTTTTTTTAATTGAGTTTTCCAGAGGGCATGCGTCCCCTGAGAATTTTTAATGACAACACATCAGATTAAATCAATGATTTAAGTATCTTTGTTCTAACCAAATTTGAGCTGTTCTCTTTCTCAGAATTCTTGTCCTCATCTGCAAGGGGATGAAGTGTGCGTGCGTGCGTGCGTGCGTGTGTGTGTGTGTGTGTGTGTGTGTTGTAAAGGCAGAGCTGCTTTTAATCTTTTGGCAGCTTTCCATTCTAGACTTTTGTCCCCCAGGAGCGCCTTTGTGGGGGGTAGTGGCCCCAGTAGACTGCGATTGAACACAATGACCTGACCACTTGATCCAGGCAGTTCTCACTCTGTGTAAATAACACACAAAAAATTGGCTTGGTATAAAAACTGTTAACTATCATAGTCTTCCAGAACCCTTACCGAATGTAGGAAAATGCTTTTTATATTTTTGGTTTGTTTATACAAACGCAGTGACAACAAGCCTGTAAATATATAAACTGAAGAGACTGGAAAGGATTTTTCCAATGAGTCTTGAAACTTTTGCTTCAGCATAGCTGCCCTTCAAGTCCCATTCCCTGCAACCCTTTCACTCTAAGTTGAGCAAGTTTGTCTCTGCCTCCTAAACAAAGAGGTACAGGAGAGATGGCTGGGGGCCTCCCACTCAAAAGAATATTTATAAAGCAGTATCTTTAAAATAGCAAATTTAATACCTACTGCAGACTGAGGTGACAAATAATACAGGAATGAGTGTCCAGCCTTGTTCAATCCCGGGGACTTCCTGAAAGTGCTAATTTTGAGCCATGTTCAAAGGGGAAAGTGCTCTAGAATAGGAATTCTTAAAGTTTAATGCACATGAACTCCCTGGGAATCTTGTTAATGCAGATTACGACTCAGTAGGTCTGCAGTAGGGCCTGCAATTCTGCATTTCTAACAAGCTCCTAGGTCATGCCAATGCTGCTTTGAGCAGAAGGTTAGTAGGGGTTTGTAATGCTGGCTGCACATTAGAACATCTGGGGGGCCTTTAAAATTACTCATGCCCAAACTCAAGTTTAGGTCAATTAAATACAAATTTCTAAGGGTGGGGTTTGAGCATCAGTGCTTTTGCAAACTCCCCAAAGGATTCTAATGAGCAGCCAAGTTTGAGAACTACTGTTCCAGACCAGCCCTCCTGCCTGCCTATGGCAGCTGCTTCCTGTGTCTTATGAAAGGATGGGAGGGAAAGGGAGAATAAGAGGGTATGCACAGAGAGTAGCAAGACACAGAGAGACAAACTGCTTTGAAGGATTCAGGTAATGACGCGGGCTTCAGATCATTACAGCCTTCAGATCAATCCTGCACTAACAAGGATTGACAAGTACTCCATGCCGGGCACCCTGTGTGCTTTGCACAGACTGACACATTTTATCCCAGCAAGCCCTGTGAGAAGTGGGTTGTTATCTCCAATGTGCAGAGAAGGAGACTGAGCCTCTGAGCCTGCAATTAGTAGTATAGGGCTGGGACCTGAACCCAGGTACTTCTTTGATAGCCTATCATTCTTCATGAGGGAGAAGAGAAGCCTGAGGCCCTTAGGAAGGAAAAGATGTCTGTTGATAAGCTGGTGTGGTTGACTGGGACCTGAACCCAGGTACTTCTTTGATAGCCTATCATTCTTCATGAGGGAGAAGAGAAGGCTGAGGCCCTTAGGAAGGAAAAGATGTCTGTTGATAAGCTGGTGTGGTTGATGTACTGTCATTTGCTGGAGAGACATATTCTGCACTCTGCTCTCCAAGAGCTTGTAGGGGCCTCACAGAGAAAACTGAGGGCTCAGATTCCCTTTTGCCCAGCCCTGGTTCTGCTCACTGTACCACAGAAGAGCACCTGTGAACAGAGAAAGTCTCGGGATGGGGCTGAGGCTTGCCCAGGCTGAAGCAGAAAGATGCACAGAAATCCTTGCACCCCAGTATTGACCCACATTGCTTAATCCAACCATGATGATATCCTGGGTCCATGGGCCTTAGTTTTAAAGCTACAGAAAACTGACCTCCAGGCATTGGGTAGGTTTTTCTTCCAGTTTCTGCTTCTAGCATCTGAAGCCCTGTTGTGGTAGACTTGGGGTGGGGAGGAGGGAAGATGAAGGGAGCAGGGACCTAAAGACAATCTTTCCTTGGATGGTAAATGGTGGGTGGGTGTAGAGGCTTGCTGAAGCAGTCAGCAGTCTGTTAAAACTGCTGAGCCTGGCTGATTTGTGACTCCTGACCAGTGGGACTCATGGTCTCACACTTGCCCTTTCCTAGGCAGGCTGTGGTCATTCTCATGTGGACTTACCATATCCTCTCCCTCCTCCTGCCTATTTCTGCCCTGGTCTTTCTCTCACATGGCTGAGTCTCCCTCTCTGTGTCTGCCCCTCCCAGACGAGCATGGTATCTGTGGAGGGCCTCACGAAGCTGGTGGACCCCTCCCAGCTGACAGAGGAGTTTGACGGCTCTCTGGACTACAACCATGAGGAGTGGATCGAGCTGCGGCTGTCTCTGGAGGAGTTTTTCAACAGCGCTGTGCACCTGCTCTCGCGCCTAGAGGACCTACAGGAGATGTTGGCCCGGAAGGAGTTCCCTGTAGACGTGGAGGGCTCTCGGCGGCTCATTGATGAGCATACGCAGCTCAAGAAGAAGGTGCTGAAGGCCCCTGTGGAGGAGCTGGACCGGGAGGGGCAGCGGCTGCTGCAGTGCATTCGCTGCAGTGATGGCTTCTCAGGGCGCAACTGCATTCCGGGCAGCGCTGACTTTCAGAGCCTGGTGCCCAAGATCACCAGCCTCCTGGACAAGCTGCACTCCACCCGGCAGCACCTGCACCAGATGTGGCACGTGCGCAAGCTCAAGCTGGACCAGTGTTTCCAGCTGCGGCTGTTTGAGCAGGATGCTGAGAAGGTAGGAAGGGAGGAGGCCACTCCTGAGCTGGGGTGGAGTGGGATACAGAGGTTTTAGGGAAACTGACAGAGGTTGCTAATCCAACTTCCTGATTTATGATGATAATATATTTGTGGAAAGCTTTTAAAAATGTGCCTAATAGTTTTAGTTGGTATAAATTTATTGCAATCTTATATTTGCTCATCACTGTTTTCAAAACTTGACCTTATATAATGTTTATTATGTACCAGGCACAGTTCTAAGCAGTGTGTGTAAATTAACTAATTTTAATCCTCTTAAGAGTCCTAAGAGGTAGGTGTACTATCATGATCCCATTTTACAGATGAAGAAACTGAGAGTTTAAACAATCTGCTAAGCTTGGAAGTGCTCTGGCTCAATTCTATGCTTTTACCCACTGTTGGACACTGCCCTTCCAAGTGCCTGCAGTGAGTGGTTCAAGCAGCTAAACAACAACAACAGCAGTACTATTAACAGCCACTGTAACATTAATCGGTGATTACTCTCCTGCAATGTATTTTACTGTTGACAAAGCACTTTCACATACAGAGTCTTATTTAATCTACACAATCCTTTAATCCTTATGGAGAGGGTGGTGTGTGTCTCTCATGACATGTGGGGGAACGACAGTGGCAGAGCTGACATCTGAATCTGGTTTTTTTCTGTTTCCAAGTCCAGGGCTCTTCTTGGCATACCACTTCTTTCTGGAGGTTTCTCCTCAGCTGCTGAGCACTTTCTCGAGTAAGACACCATTTTTCCAGCAGTGAATTTTCAAAGCTTTCTCCTTATCGGGGAAAAGTGAGATATGAGAAAATGAAAAAGAAAAATGGCATATAATGCCTCTTTGCTGAGGACACAAAAGTATCTTCTTTACATTCTCTTCAAGCTAAAGAGAAAGAAGAGAGTTTACTATTATATGCACTTTAAGAAGACTAAACTGGGCTCTCCTCCTATCAGTTTTCTGGGTGTAACTTATATTTAAGTGCACAATACTGGGCCAAGCCCGTGGTGCACTTGGGAGAGTGCGGCGCTGGGAGCGCAGCAGCGCTCCCGCCGCGGGTTCGGATCCTATATGGGGATGACTGGTGCGCTCACTGGCTGAGCACGGTGCAGCCGGTCTCAAAAAGGACAAATAAATAAATAAAATAATAAAAAAAATAAATGCACAATACTGTTCTTAGGAATACCATGACATCTCTCGGTAACCAATTCATTTTACAAATAGCATCTGATATAATAGTTTTGTGTCTTTTAAGAGCCCATATTGAAAATGTTTCTAGGTATTTTTAAGTGATGAAATCAAGATATAAAACTATATAATTTACCACAATGTTGATAGTTTTGGTTTCTGAGGGCCAGGCTTATGGTTGATTTTAATTTCTCTTTATAAATTTTTTGTGTTTTCTAATCTTTTATCATTTGTAATCACAAGAAAATCAATATATGTAGTTTTTAAAGAATGCATATCCCTTTCTACAACAGAATTTTTGAACATCATTTAAGCAAGTTTTTGGATGAGACATGTAAAGGGATTTCCCCTGATCTTCTTCAGGGCTCTTTGCCCAGTGGCTGGTAGTCTGGGTCTGACCCTGGCTTGGCCTGCTCAGGGAGGCAGCTTGGACTGCAAATCCCTACACTGCTTACCGGGTGATGAGATATCAGGTCAGGAGCCAGCTGCTCTGTGAAGCCAGAGGCAGGTACTTTGGATCCTGTGGCCAGTATTGGAAAGGTTTGGAACATCTTCTCTTAACTTGGGGTCTCTTCTGCTCTGGGACAGGGTGCGGGTGATGAGATATCAGGTCAGGAGCCAGCTGCTCTGTGAAGCCAGAGGCAGGTACTTTGGTTCCTGTGGCCAGTATTGGAAAGGTTTGGAACATCTTCTCTTAACTTGGGGTCTCTTCTGCTCTGGGACAGGGTATCTGCTTTGTAGGCCTGCTACTTCTTTCAGTGAGCCAGGGACAGAAGGAGCGGAAGGGGACTAAGGTCTGCCTATGTGTATTTTAGAGTTTGGGGCACTTCACAGTATCTCTGAAGCTGAAGGATATGGGAAGCTTGTATAGGGCACAGATAGTGCCTGCCTCAAAACTAAAACAGTGTACCTCAGCCCTGGAAGTCCCCAGGTAGGGAAGGCTGCCCCTCTATAGCCAGCCAAGTTCCATTCAACTAGGCAGTAATTGCTGCCCCACATATATCCTCTCAATTCATGCTGTCAACAATTGTATAGTATATTATTATTCCTATTTTACAGCTGCAGAAATGGAAACTCAGAGAGGTGAAGTGGCTTGCCCAAGATCACACTGTAGTTAGACAAGGCCACTATTTTAGTTTGTCTCCAAAGCCCACCCAAGCTCTTATCCAATAATCTTAATGTCCCTCTGCTCCCAGAATCTGCCCCATTGCTGTCAGTGAATCCCACCCGTTAGCTCAGGTCCCCTGGCCCACGCCCTGAGGACCTTAGAGAAAATCTCAAATCTCACTTTCTAATACTCACTCAACAACAGTGGCCCTTAACCTTTCTGTGGCATGGAGCCCTTTGGTCTGGTGAAGCCTATGGACTCCTTATCAGAATATTTGTAAATGTATAAAAAACATACATAAGCTTAGAAAGCAATTATTGAAATATAGTTACTAAATTTAAAAAAATAACAGTAATGTATGTACTTCTGTATTAACATGTAAAATAGTAAGATGTGCTTGAAGTCCAATACATAATTTTGATTATAGGATGAGGACAGAACAAGGATGTGGGAAGAGGGCAGCCCAGGAATATTTTGATGTTGAGTCAGTGGTGGAAATGCTGCTCAAGCTTGACCCAGCTGCTGCAGAAAATGTGCTGGGTGTGGGGTAGGGGAGAAAAACAGACCTTTTAAGTAGTGATGGGCATAAATGACATTTCAGGGCAAGAACCCTGATGTGGTTTGGAGATGTGTGGGTTTCTCTTGGTGTCAAAGGCACTGGTATTGCTAACACTACTGTAGTTTGTTGCCTGCATTCATAATGGAAGGGAATGCTGTATTTCAGTTAGAGGTTAGTGAAAATAAAGGCATATTTTTCCTCAAAGTACACAATCCCTGAATTTGATGGACCCTAAGCTTAGAATCCCTGTTCTGTGGTGTGCTCATGCCTTAAAAAGAAGTGTGGGTGTGGTTGTGTACGTGCATGTGCATGTGTATGTATAGAGGGGTGGGGGAGAGAGGGAGAGAACGTTAAAAACAACACAGAGGGAGTGAAAAGCTTGATGGGAAGAGGGCAGCCCAGGAATATTTTGATATTGAGTCAGTTGTAGAAATGCCGCTCAAGCTTGACCCAGCTGCTGCAGAAAATGTGCTGGGTGTGGGGCAGGGGAGAGAAACAGGCCTTTTAAGTTGTTTCAAGATTAATTTAAAATATCTGTGCAGAGCTAAGTGCCTCAGCCTTTGACTTATTTGGTGTTTCTGGAAAGGGTAAAGGAGGGTGATGGTTTGGAATAAAGGTTGTGTATGCAGATCCACATCTAAACAAGGGCGTGAGGAAATAGTTACTGCGTAAGCCTCGTCTTAGCCCCCTTTCTGGTGGGAGGCTTGTTAGCAGAGGCCTCTAATTCCAGATCTGGGAAGCTCTTGGCAATCAGAGGAGTCTGGTGATCGCTCAGCTTCTATTTTTGTAAAAAGGGTGGGTGCAGAGTCTCCCCTCTGGCCCTGTGGGGTGACAGCTTGTTCCCCAGGGCTTGAAAATGGTTTGATGCTCCCCGTTTACCAACTGGCCTTGGGTGGGGGTGAAGCCACCCCTACAACCTTCCCCTGACTCTTGTGACGACCCCCTGCATTTCCCATCTTGGAAGTGGGAGAGAGGAAGCCATGCTCTCCCAGTTAAACATGCAGGGAATAGAGACTGTGTTCCACAGATAATTCATAAAGCAGGTCACCCATTCATTTAATAATGAATGTTGAGCAGCTGTCTTGAGCCTAAAACAAGGCACTTGGATAAAGACGGGTAGACCAGAATTTCAATCCTGCAGCAGCTCACCATCTAATAAAGGAGGTGGACACATAAACTCCTATTTTTTAAAAAATTTGCTTTTATTTTTTAAAAACAGACTTATTGAGGTATAATTGATATATAATAAATGGGACACGTTTAGTGGATACAGTCCGATGAATTTGAACATGTGCACATACCCATGAAGCCATTGCCATGATCAAGATAATAGACATATCCACTATCTAAAAGTTTCCTTGTTTCCCTTTGCATGTTTGTTAAATGTCTTCTGTTTGCCATGCACTGTCCTAGGCACAGCTTCTGCGCTTGGGGAGTTTTTGGAGAACAGGGAACACTGTAGCTCAGGAATGACAGGAAAGCTTTAACGAGCAATTTGTGGGAGTCCTGGGTAATTGAGAGATGATTCAAGTAATGTACCGTATTAGAAGACGAAACACTGCTGCCTTGGCCCAGCGCCTTCTGGTCTATAACTTATGGTCATGTCCTCCACTGTGTTCACACAACATGGGCCAGGTCGCTCCTCATTAGCCTGGTGCAGATTGTGGCTCTCTGTGCAGGCTCATTTCACAGCTGTCTCTCCCTGCCTCCAGCTGCAAGGGATCCTGTGTGATGAAGATGTCTGCCCTGCAACCACATCCCATTGCCAAAGAGAAGGGATGGGCCTCTTCCCTGTTAGGGGGCCATATGTGGTATTAAAGGTCATTAGGTAGACTCATTGTAGATGTGCTTTCAAAAAAGGAAAGGGTGGGTGCTGCTCACTGTGGGGTCCTCCCTACATCCCCTCTTCTTGGGGGCCTGGGATGCCATCTTAGAATTGTAGAACTGGAAGGGATGGTGAGGCCAAAAAGCCTACCTCTTGCACGCTGTAGAAATCCTAGCCGTGTCATCTGAAGACAGCCATTACCAGCTCACAATGCCAGTTGATGTGCTAATGCCCATGATAAAAGTATCAGAAAGTACTGAAACACCACCTACCTTGTGAAGTGGGGAAGGCCTGCAGTCTTCAGTCTTTGTAGGGAAGGAGC